CAGCCCAACGCTAAAGTCCCTTTGAATATACAGGGCAGGAGCCCCTGACCTGTCCCCATGGTAAGGGCTGCTTTCCGGCAGCCTTTGGTCTCCCAGGGCCAGGACCTCTAGCCTGCTCTCCTCACCTTGCCAACTGGGCCTGCTGGTGCAGTAATGAGGTGCTAACTCCAATTATTCATGGCACATTATCATCCTATTAGCAAAAGGCAACGGCTGTTGTGCTGCTTTTGTGCCGGCCCAATCAGGTGGGGCAAGAAGAGAGCAAGACCATCCTATTCTCACCAAACAGTAGCAAATAAATTGCCCGAAGAGAGAAGTATCCCAAGGAGAAGGGGAGGAAGAAGGCCGATGGACTTCACTGAAAGCAGGAACATATTTCTGTACCCAGGAGACGAATAAAAGCAGTAAAAATTAAAATCAGTGTGGAGATCATTTTATGGGAAAGCTGAAACATAAATGTTATAACCCCATTAGGTAAGAGTCTACTGCAATGCCGTTACCTAAATAAATAATTAGGTAGGTATTTTATGAGCGCACCTGAGAATTATCAGGAAAGAAAGGAGCTCAGCATGGCAAGGAACTACACTGCAGTGTGCAGAGTAGCCAGAATGCTCCCAGACGGGATCAGCCGTCCCTCCTGGAAGGGGCTGAACGAGAGCGTAGGATTGCTGTTGCCCCTTCCCCCTTCATCCTGCAGACAAAGCTCACCATTAATGCGCCTGCCTCCTTGTAACATCAGGCCCTGGCAATCGCTACCCTCTTCCTCTCTTTGGGCTCTGTGTATTCATGACAACCAGGCTTTATCAACCTCTGTACAGCCGCTCAGCAGACTAATTGGCTGGGGGAAGGGGAACAGTCACAGATTAGTTTTCGAGGCTTGATAAAAGCCAATGACTTCACTTAAGGAGAACTCACATATTGCATCTGTAAAGGTTTGGCTCAGGTCTCTCCCACCTCCATCACCTAAGAAATACCTTGCTGTTGCATCCCTGGAAGCAGAGCTCTCCACTGGAGGATGGATGAAGCACCTAACCAAAATTTAGCATGCCCTTGGTCCTGGGCCAGGCAAGGTGCTGTCCCTCCAGCCCCAGTGCATGTGCGCACACAGGGACATACACTCTTGGAGCAGCTCAGTTCACTCTCTGATCCATTTTGAGCTATAAAAATTCACAAATTCAGGGATGAAAAGAGGCTGGGCAAGCAAACTTTAGAGGCTTGCAACAAACTTTTTCTTGGTGAGCATGGGGCTGCAAAGCTTGCAATAGAAGCTCATGCACCGGTCACTGGTTCCTGCTGCTGGCAAGAAGACAAGCGCCCTTTGCTTTTCTCCAGAACACGGTGGCTCCCTATCGCGCAGGCACCTGCCAAACTGGCTAGCTCTGTCCTCACCAACCTAAGCTCAGTGAAACTCTTTCCTAGCCATGTCTTCATCTGGCAAGACCAATTTTTCCCTTGAAGAAAATTCCTACAGGCCAGCACACGATTCACCTTAGCTAAAATAAAGCCATTTTAGTTAATTACTTTAGAGATGCTAGACTTCCCTGCAAAGCAGCAAGGTTCACATGCCAAAGGAGAGGGGACAAACAGCTTCTGTTTCCAGGAAGGCCACCTCCGCATGCATGACCCTGTGCACCCCAGAGCCACAGGCTGAAGGAACAAGTTCTACTCTGGTTAAGCTTTGCCATTGCATCTTGCAAGCACCGCAGGTGCTACCAGCTCCTGCTACTCAGTGCATGATTACTGCCCAATCTGAAATTAGTACCAGTCTATTTAATTAAAGCAGAGGAAATTTTTCTTTGCAGGTAAGTAGAGTGCATAGCACTTTAGAGGTATCTATTTCTGCTTGCTCGGCTTTTAGGTACGCTGATGCAAGGGTCAATGCTCAGCTGTGGGCCTGCTGTTAGAATTCATTTGATCTCAAACAATGTTCTGGAGGACCTAAATTTAGGCCCAATGCATCCTCTGCCCCAGAGGATTTTCGGAAATTTGGAGAAATGAGAGAGACAAACCCACGAGGCTCACGCACTGCAGACAGAGCTGGTACAGTCTGGGGCAGAACAGGGCCACGAGCAGCAATCCTGACCCGAGTCTCATGTACGCACCGCCCCCCTGAACACAGTCACTTCTCTGCTTTCAAGACTAAAGAAAAAATTAAAAAAATGAGTGTTTCCCAGACTAACAAGCTGATACTTCACAGCCAAAAACCACTCAGATTTTCACCTCAGGCAAAACATGTGCACGTTTGTGATTCATTCCACAGTCAGCAGCTGCCAATTTTCCTCCACAAACCGTTGAATCGTTGAGGTTTCAACCTTTACTAAACTCATGAATGCTACTTGAAGTTCTGTACGCTTGCAGAGCTGCTCTCTTCTCACCTCTCCCCCTCCACCATTATTTTTATAGCCGAAATGTCTCTTAAGCTGGACCTCTGTAAGCCCTTGCGTTTCTTTGAGAGCTGTGCAACGTAATGAGCCATTGCTGTCCCACCTGAAATGCCACCGGCTCTCCAAGATACCCAAGCAAAAACATTTCCTAGGCTTGTTAAGTCTTATCAAAAGTGAGACGCAAAACAGGCTTTCCTTCACATGGGGAGAAGCTGCCAAATCCCTCAACAACACCGAGGGAGAACTGAGAAGGACTATTTGCTATTTTTCTGGGGTTTCACTCACAGCCTTGGCCATCCATGGAGGCCTCACAGCCTAGGCCATGGAGGATGCTAAGAGGCACAACAAGACACAGTGACGGAGCAGCCCCGCATGCTCGGGCGGTAGCTGCACGTCGCGGTGCTTGCAGGAGGTGTTCATGCTCGAGGTTAGAACAGCACGGATGCTCGACCTGCAACTGAAGATGCCTCTTGCAACTTCATTTACAAATCAGCTCCCCACGGCAGGCACGCTCAGCGCACAGCGCCTAGGCATGGGTCAATCTCTACAACCCTCACCTAGGCTCTTTTTGCAAAAGCCCATTGCTAGATTCGAAGATTTCCATCCCTATTCTTTCCCCCCAAAGCTCAAAATCCTCTTGTCCTCTGTGAAAACCATCTTGCCCAAAAGCTGGTTCACGCCTCCTCCCGTATCTTCCACCCCTAGGGCTGCACTGGACTATCCTACTCGCTAATAATAATCCTGTCTCTTCTTACTAAGTTTTACGTTCTCTGTATTTCTTTATTATACTAGAGAACTTCCCAGGGAGAAAAAGAGTTCCTTATGCAGAAGAAACCAGAAGAAAATCTCTCTTCTCCTATCAGAAAATAGTTTTCAAGCCTTTAGTATTCATCATGAGTATATCATAAGGCACAAATCACACATACTGATGCGTACATGGAGTCTCTACACAGCAGACTTCTGTGCATCAGATCTTAGGTAACAGTGCAAATTTGGGACAGCCTCAGATACAGAACTGAGGGGTCTTTTTTAATAGTATTTTTTTTAACAGTAAGGATATATCTACATTGAAAAAAAAAAGTCATCTTCATTGAACTTGCTTCGATTGACCTAGTAAATCCACAGCAATTAGAGGTGAATAACTTCTCTGAGCAATCCAACAAATGTTGGAGTGTAAGGGAGGTCTTGGGGTCAGCTAAAACTGTTGGAACAGAATGAAAATGAAATGAAATGTGTCAAAGAGAAAACTTTCCCAATATTTCAATGCAAAAGAAGGAAGAAAAATGAGTCATTTGAGTCAGGGCTTCATGTTTATGGACTATTTAACTCTTTCTTTTTTTTCTTTTTTTTCTTTTTTTTCTGTGCTAAACAGAGACAGCTGTTTCGAAATTGAAAGTCAAATTTCACGTTTGAACCCTGGGATGTCAACTCGTTTCTGAAACAACTGCTTTCTTTGCAAAACACAGGAAAATCAACTGTATTAATGGTTTTGAATTTCACTCCCGCTTCCTGATTTGCAAAGATTTGCCAAATTAGACTCACTTTCACAAGCACTGGTCCATCCGTTTTTCACCACAGGAGATACCTCTCTATCAGCAGCTCAACCTCCGGCTCTGCCAAAGTCTATTGAAGTCCATCAAAGCAGCTCCCCTAACCCACGGTGAAGCCCACACTCCCTCATCTTCAGGCTTATTTACCCAGAAGTAGGCAACCTGCCCAAGTCATTTTCCCCCCGTGCAGATGTATCTTCTGTTTTAGTGCCTCAGCATCACATTTAACAACCTCTCCAGCAAGTATTTTGCTGCAGCTTTATTCCACCCACGCCTGCAAGTCACCTCCTGTACAACTTACTCTGGAGTGGCCCTCTCCAATGGAGAGGCAAGATACAATGCTCTTAGACACATGCAGGATGGAAGATACCAACTCCTGTAGTCCAAAGCCCACTTCATCCATAACCCAACCTGATATCTGTCCAGCTTCACCAAAGTAAACAACGCATTAAACTCCTGCCCTGCCACCTCAATGTAATTATTAAAAAAAGAAGAAGAAGAAAAAAAAAGCTAGACTCATTCGCTAAGTTCCCAGACTGACAAGGAAGGTTTTGCTAAAATAAAACTGTGTATCACATAATGCTCCAAAATTGCCAGGAATGTTTTAAGCCACATGCTGTATCCAATATCACAGTGGGAGAAATCCTTCTGCTGAAAGCTTTCTTCTTCCAAGACTTTAAAACATTCCAGGCTTGTGAAAGGCAACCCTTGCCACCTGGCCTTGCATTCGACAGACAGCCAGCAAGGAGGACAGCCACAACAAATTGCAGAGCAGGGGGATTTTACATGGTTCCTGGGAGTGACCCTCCAAAGCTGCCAAGCTCCGTGAGCTCCCAAAGAGATGCCTGTCCTGGGCAACCTGGGGGCAGAAGCAAAGGAGCAAGGACAAGGTCTCAGCCGACACAGCCTCCCTGGGCAAATCGGGAGCAGGATGAGGAAGGAAGACAGAGATAGAAAAGTTATATTTCTGGACCGGGGCCTGCTCAGCGCAGTCTGCCGGACCCGTCTATACTGGCACCTCTAGTGATCAAAGCTCTGTGTGTAGGAGCTGGGGGTGGTAGGATACCTTTGGACACCTGCACAACATCCTTGGAGAGAAAGCAAAGCCCGTTGCGCATCTCCTGAACCAAAGCACGGGGTAGGGCCATTGTTGGCGAGTTCCACAGCCGACTGGCACCCTTCCAGAGCAGTAAAGTCCCAAGGGAAAAGAGGAAACTAAGGAAGAGGGATGTCACTGGAAGCTGTTGCAACATCTCCCACCCTTCTGAAACACCTCTCTACATCTCTGCTGTGGGTCCTTAGGCATAAAAACCACCTGGCAGGCAGCCTCTGCCACAGTGAGGCTGTGCTCCTCTCAGCCTTCCCAAAAAGACCTAAGAAGGAGCAACTGTAGGAAGGTACAAAGTCAAAATGCTTCTCTGAGGATAGTGCACTGCAAACACCACAGGAGGTTTGTCACGTTCTCTACACCTGGATTTCCTAAGGGCAGAGAACATTACTTTCCTGTCTAACTCCAGCAATACCTGCTAAATTTATTCACATAGTGAAAGTCAGAGCAACAGGCGAACCGCTGTGAACATAACACAGCGATTGCAGGGCCCCCAGCGTTCCTTCAGACAAAGAGGGACGAGTTTGCTTTCAAACGGTCAGATTAAACATCCTAAAGACTGCTGTAGCAATCACTTACGCTGCAGTTTGCAGCAGTGCTTCCAGCGTTTGCTGCATACTTCAGTGCTCAGCGAGTGGCAGGGCTACATGAAGAAGTGGTTTTTCTTCCTTTTCCTTGTTTTCAGTTTGGAGTGAAACAAAGAAAAGTAATGAAAAAGTCAAATTGGACTGAACTGCCATACCTTTCTCACCAAACCTTCAGCAAAACAAATACTTAAAAGAATCAGCTCAGCTTAAAATACAGAATTTTTTTCATTCGCCATAAAATCTCCAAAACAGAGGGCAAAATCATAGAACATCAAACCTAACAGAGTCGGTCACCATCCAGAGGCTAGGACATTGCCCTAAGATGGGAGAGAACCAGGGCCAAATGTATATTCTCCCTGAAGTATTTGGCCCCCTATATTTCAAGGGTCTGTGCTATCCTTCTCCTGCCAGTGCCCTAACGTACTGTGCGACAGACTGCATGATAGCCACGACTACATCATGCAGTCCAGTCAGTATCTGGAAGAGAGAGGCAATTACTGGAAAAAAAATAGATGCTCCAGTGCCGGGCAGCTCTTTGGAAGCTAATTCCTCATGGCCAAGGAGCAACGGGGCAGTTACTTTTCTACAAAAAATGAAAGACAGAGAAGGAAGCACAACTGTTCAGTCCAGCATCAAGATCTAGGGAGCCTTATGTCACGTCGTGCAGCAGGACGTCGTTCAAGCTAAAGAGAAACCTTGGCCAGGGTGTTTGGCTCCTTGAGGACCTATTCTCCATTAAAGACAAAGTTTCGCCCTTCCCTACCGCAGCAGGAGCTACAAAAGTGACAGATCCAGGGCAACGTTTCAAATACAACAGCAACCGTCACTCTGAGATGCCAGTAATCGCTTGATTATTTTACTGTGCTTTGAGCAAGCATTTCCTGCGCTGTCTTTGATATGGCAACTGTTGACGTTACAGACTTCAAAAAAGACAACTCTTCTCTTACACCCTTAGCCCACTTTCAGGTTTGAGATAAGAGGAAAAATCTACTCATTTATCCAAGTAGAGCAACATGCATCCCTTTAAGCTGTGAAAAGCCCTGATGACCCATGCCTTTTTTCTTCACATTCAACTCTTGCATGCAGGCAGGGAAGTAAAGCACCAGTAATGGCCTGAGACCTCACCGTGCTGGCCTGGGCACAACCACAACAAAAAGAGGCTCCCCCTTCTCCAGGCTGCTTACAACCCAGGGCTTGAACTGTATTAACACCAGCTCTGGGGAGTTTGTGTGTTGGTCCTGAAAAACAGAACAACAAAAAAAAGGAGGAGCAACCAGGCTGCAGCAGGTCAGGCAACTTCAAGCCCTTTCCATGGAGGCAGCAGGGACGAGGATAGCCCCAGCTCAATCTGCATATCAGCCAGGCTCTGGCTTTTTTATCAGGTTATTTATCTCAGCTGCTCCCAGTCCTACTCTGTTTCCAATCAGGATACACTACCCGCTTTGCCTGGGCCCAGTGGGAATTTCTGTAAAAGCCTGGAAGGAAAATATAGATGAAGTAAAAACACATTCAGGGAGATTAAAGCAGGGAAAAGGCAACTGTACTCCGTGCAAATGAGCAGGGCTTGTTTTCTCGCTTCTCATGAGGCAGAGAGCTGGGGGGAGCGTCGCTCCGCCTCGGTTTCACGGGGCTTCTCCCGCGACCAGAACTGCCACGATCAGCATGACCGGGGAGGACACGAGGATGTGGAGATCAGAGCAGATCTCATTTGCGCAGGACTACGTGCATTTGCAGCACATGTACTCCACATGCGCAGAACATGCCTACAAGCCCAACCATGTCTACCACACATACACCACCGTGAGTCACAGTCACACACTGGATGTGATCCAGGGGCCAAGGGCCTCTCTTTCATCTAAGATTCACTAGTCTGGAGCACATTTTGATGCAGATTATGACAGCTTGCTTGAAAATCAGCTCCAAACAAAGACTCGCTTCCCATGAAACTAAGCCAGAAGAAACGCTTGGGAGCACACCTAGTGCTCTCCAACACGGACAGTATCCTGTGGCCATTCAGTCCACAGGACCACACTAGTCCAAAGTAAAAGCCACAGAGCCCATATAACGGGTATACCTGGGCCTCAGAACAAGCTGTTTTGCTCTGCAGATCTGCTCTTGGTGGACCACATCACTTGCTGACACAGACATACTCTTAAAGCTCCACTTATTGGTCTCATGAGCATTTCTGAGACTCTTTTAATTAAGCTTCCTAAACCCCATAGCTATAGAGAAAAGCTTGGAAAACCTGACTGCTACTGGTCCAGACACAGCAAGACAAATACAAATGTTTCTAAGATTTTTTTTTGTTCTTTTCAAACCTTCTCATTTCTTTTAAGCCAGGGGTTTATTACACTAGAGGACTCCAAGCCTTTTCACAGCTGGAGAGGCATCCACCTCAGCTTACACCTTCTCACAAACAGCCTTCCCCGTTGTCTTGCCTTTTCCAGATAGGCATTTTGCCGGCACAGCGAGAAGTAGCACAGAGAAAGCCATCCATCCCATCTTCACTCCAGGTGAACTCCCGTCCAGATGTCTACCACATCCTCACCCAGGTAAAAGCTTCCAGTTTCCCATGACACTAAGGCCAAGGAGGTCTGGCAGCCTTTCAGCAGAGTCTGTGCTGGTCTCTGTTCACTCTTTGCCCTGCCCCAAGGCCACCTTCTTCCTGGCAGTGGCAAACATGCTCATGCATCCAGGTCAGTCACGTAGACGTCAGATGAGTCTCGTGGGATCTTGTGTCCACCGTGAGGACACACTGTGCCTGCTCTGACGCTGCTGGCAGCGAAGCTGAGGGAGCGCAGCACCTCGAAAGTGAGCTATCTTGAAGAGGGACACGTTGCCGTCCTCTGCAGTAGTGAGGTGGGAGAGGCATCTCCGGAGAGTGGTGCTGGGAGAATAAGGGCCCTGGCGTACACCCCACGTGCTCTGAACTCAGCAAGGTGCCCCCAGCAATAGCTAACACTGCACATCAACCTTTCCCTGGCCAAAGCAAGGTGAGACAAATCCCCCTGTCTGTGCTGAATGCAAAACCAGCCAAGAAGCTGGGTAAATACCCACACGAACAACCGCAACAGAGCTCTGCGCTACCATTGCCCCACCACTTTCATGTTATAGAGCGCAGGGTTGCCTCCATTCACAGCTCAGGTCTTAGGAAGCATGCTCAGGTTGCCCCGCTCTGCAGAGGAATGTTATCCCTAACACCACCAAACTAGCCACGGAAGAAGGGAAACCTCATTTCCCCTTCCGCTCATGCTGGCAGCAGAGGAACACGCCACAGCCAAGGGACGAGACATCTGGGTATCTTTGCGTTTGTGGTCTGAAGCTCCGGACACACAACTGTGGTTATTAGAGGCATCAGGAATGGATTAACTAGAACTAACTGATTTCATCTTTGAAATGGCCCTTTAAAAAGAGTCCCCATTGAGCTCCCTGGCTGGGAGCCAGGACTACACAGGAACCAAGAGGAGATCTGGCTCCCTCTCTCTCTTTTAGTAGGGCTGGAGTCATTTTGGATCACTCCTTGCTCTATGATGGTCAAATCTTTGATTACTTCCAGTGCAGCCAACAGTCTTTCACTTTCAACTGTTTCTGAGCAACATGAAAGGAGGAAGGACGCACAAGCTCTCCCTCTTCTCAAAGATCACTTCTAAGGGCAGGATCTCCCCACAACAAGCCACCAGGCCAGGAGCAGGCACTCCTCCAGCAAAAACCTTCCAAAAGGGGCAAAAGCGGGGCAATGGAGCCCAGGAGCACGCTACAGCCTGTATAGTGTCAGTGCAGCGCCACCAAATCCACCAAGCAGCCAGGGAGCACGTGTGTGCCAGATGCTTCCTATTTTGGGAGGAGGGGAAAGAGGTGCAAAGGTCAAGGTCACAAGCAATGGCTGACTACATTCTTTATGAAGGGGCCTTACAGGGGGAGAGGGAGATGGGCGGAAATACCAGCCTGTGCGTATAAAAAACATACACGGTGGGATTCGCGATCACGTTTGCACATGTTTGGCTCAGGAGAGGCAGGAAGTTACAAGGCATGGAGGTCCCTCACATCTGAAATGAGCAGGCCAGGAGAGGCCACAAACCAACACAATGTGCTCTGGAATAGCCTGGGATGCTCCTTAATCCACTGCTTTAACGCCCCAGAGAGGGCCACAACCACCAAGGCTTAGGGTCAGCCTCCAGCTCTTGAGGTTGCTGCCCCTCTTCTTTCTCCCTTCTCTGCAGCAATGAAACACTGTTGAGAGTTGCAGGTCCCAGGAGGCCACACGGAAAAGACCTGGATCTCCCTCCTTACTCAGGCACCTCCTGAGAGTGTGTTAGCCTGTATCCCCTGCTCTCGTCTCTCCCCTTTCCTGAGTATCAGCTGGCACCTTGCAGTGGAAAGGAGGAGGCTGCAGTCTCAGACATAACTCTCGGGCACTTTTTTCCAAAGTTTGAGACCAAATTAAACTAAGTCA